AGAAGCTTTCATAACTTATTAGTGATTGTAATCTCGGATGTTTAAAAATTAAAATCTTGAAAAGAAATTATTTTTTTAACAAACATCTCTATGTAACAAAATTCTTRTAGGCAAAGAAACATCTTGATTTAGTTTAGAAAAAACTGCTTAAATACTAAAATTACTATCATATTTTATTGAATCAATGAAAAATAATGATAAATAGGTCAACTTATTTACTGGAAGGCCATTTCTTTGGTCTTTGAAAACGAGGTTGTTGGCCTGGTTGATTTATTTGAGGTCTTATATTTAATAATGAGGGTAGCTGTTGATTTTGAAACTGAGAATATTGTGACATAGAGCTTAAATTTGGAAATGGCTGATTTGACTGCGTACCATAATATCCTCTTGAAGTATCAGGTACATTTCTCTGATCTTGATGTAAATAGTTATTAGTTAAGATATGTTGATATAATTGGTGGGTATATTGTTCGACCTGTGATTGTGTTTGTACATTTCTGAGGTTTTCAGTTGACAAAATATTAGAATAATTACTATCAGAAAAACTTGGGCCATCAACAGAAGACACATTTAAAAACTTTAACATTTTTAATCGCATTTCATCAATTGCAGCTGAGTTTGAGAGGTTTTTATTTTGATGATTTCTTGAGGAAAAATTACCATGTGGTACATTATTTTTTCTATTTTGTCCTTTGTTTGCCTTTGGTTCAAAAGTTTTGGTAAAACCTCTAGGTCCAGTATTTTGCAAATTCCTTGGCTTACGATTTCTAGTTCTGTGTTTAACTGAAACTTGTTCAATACTCTCATCATCTGATGAACCCATTTCACTTTGATAAGTTGTATTAGGGAATGAAGAGTTATCAGATAAATCAATAATTAGCTTGGACTTCAAAGAAGAATCAACATCTTTCATTTGTAAGTTACAAGTTTCCATGATTTTTGTTAACATTTTTAAAAAATATAACATATCTTCAGGAGTAGTGCTACTTGAATTTGTAGCCAATCTAATTTCATTACAAATAAGTTCTGCTAAATGAAACTTCTTTGAACCAAATGATGAAAAATGTTGCTAAAACAAATAAAAATTATAGAATAAGAAAATTGACAAACCTTCTAATGAAATGCAAAAATTAAAATTTTGTCAATTTTTATTTTCATTATACYTATATAAAAAAAAATATTATTTTTAATGAATGGTAGAAAATAAGATTTATTTTTAAATATAAATAAATAGCAAAAAATATCTTCAAGTGCCTACTTCATAAAACATTTGAGGAAACAATGTATTTGTTATAAAGAAATTATAATTTAAAAAATGTTTACCTGTTACCTGGAGTCTACCTTTACAACAAACTCACATAGACCAATCAAATAAAAACAAAGAGAAAATGCTCAATATAAAACTCAACAAAATTAGACACCTTCTTACATCAAATCTCCCACTCAAACACCAAACTCCTAATATATAAAGAAATTATCACCCTACATTGACTTACGGAATACAAATATGAGAATGTCTAAAAAATCCACCATTCAAATATGTCAATCTTTCCAATCAATTTGGTCTTCGCCTCACTACTAATGCTCCCTGGTATATCAACAATCTTAAACTTTCAAAAACATTCACATACTTTCCTCCCATTACTATAAATTATTTCATAAAACCATATATATAAATATAGTATAACCATTCCACTCATATCTTCCCTCACACTTCCRAATAACCCATTTTGTTCCTTTTAAAGGAAATTGGCCCAGGGACCTCCTAAACGACCTAAGCCTTTAAAAAACTAAATGACAAAAATAATCTGTCTAGAATTGTGAAATAAAATCATTTGGACACCCCCTTCAATCAAGCTGTCTTACCTTGTAATCTAACCACAATATTACCTAATGTATAGATTTAATAAGGACTGTAAATATTTTTGTTTTTTTTTTTATTAAAAAAAAAATGTCTAAAATGTAAAATAAAAAATTATATTTTAATGATAACATTTTTACCGTAATTATATAGTTATTGGCAATTCCTGGTTGTTCAATCAATTTTATAAACTCTTCGACACCAGATTTTAGGTTGTCAGTGAATAATATTGTATACGAACATAATTGAGCCATAATTTTTGATTTATCAAGTCCATCATATTTAGAAATCAAATTAGTGAGGTAAGGAATAGGATCTTTCCCATCTTTTTGTTTTCTTACAATAAGTCCTAAATCACTTCCTAATTTTAGTGTTCTGTTCTTCCGCGATGGACGATTTTGTTTTGGTTCAGTTGTTCTACTAGGCCTTTGTTTTTTAGCCTGAAAAAAAGTATTACTTCAAACATTATACTATTAATGTTATTATATTTCAAATTATAACTTACAATATCTTTATAAGCTTGAACTGTTTTTTCAATAGATTTTAAAACAGTTTCATCATTTGGTGCCATATTACTGGCTTTGGTCAAATATGTTTTTCCCAAATTAAAATCACGGACCATAAATGGAAGAGTCATTATTGTTCTAGCACACTTAACTACCAAAAGAGGATCTTTGGGATCCATGCWCATTATAGTTCTAAAATAAAAAAATGATAAACTACATAAAAAAAAGAAAAAGAAGAGGAAACCTTAAGAAAACTTCCTATTAAATACCTGTATATTAAATGTATATGTTTAATAATGTGTAAAAATTACTTAGTTTATTATAGTATTAAGTCAAATCCCACTTTATAATTTTATTTTTTTATTTAATATTATAGGATATTGAATTTTACGAAAAGTCAAAAATAAATTAAATTTAAAATCATTTGAGTATTTAACTCTATTTAAAACAAATGTATAACTTAATGCCTAATGATTAAATCTGTAAACATTTGTGAATTATAGACATACTAAAATTTAAGATTTAAATTGATTGTAGTATGAATATTATTGATTAAGTATTTTGTAAACCATAAATTAGACAACTCGTGATGGAGTCTAATATTTATAT